TCACCAAGAAGGAGATTATACTTTGAAAAATATGCAGTCAGGAGAGGAGAGTTCAATCTTTCTTTGTGTAGAACAGGTGTAATAATGCAATGACTCAAGAATATCTGCTTTTCATATATGTTTAACTTTCCTTTTTCTGGTAAATTCACAATTAAGAGAGACAAACTCATCTGATGAGTTTCTTAAAAATAATGAAGACCACTCTGCAAAGATAAACATTACCAACCTTGTCTCCTATGGTCTTTCTATACATACTATGCAGAAAGGCGGGTATAGAATCACAATCTTCCTAGAGAGAAACATGAACAAAGTGACTAGATAGTTACTCTTACCTTCTAGCTGTGGCTATAAACAGATATAAACTGTCACTGGTGGGACTGRTTTTGTCAATAAATAAATAAATAAAGAGCATTTTCTATGGATAGACAAAACGTTTTTCTCCTACCTCATTGAAATTGCAGTTCAAAGAAAGTGAACTTTAAATAGGACCGGGCTTATTCTTTTCCTTCTGTCTTATGCCCCATTCCTCTCTGATTCACACATTACTTTTGTTAAAAAAAAAAAAAAAAAAAAAAAATCACTAGCAAGAGGCAGTATCAACCATTGTAATTTTGGCTGGCTGACAATCAATTTTGTCACCTCCTCCAACTCATCTGTCAAATTATGGCATGATGAAGATATTGTCACACTCAGGGTCAACCAAGATCTGGGAAAGGCTCTGAAAGATATATCGTTAGGATATATCTCCAACTTTAACTGAGTAATTTTATATACAGAAATATGAAAAGGAATAGGAAATATTAGCACCTTGTCTTTTCAAGTCTATTGCTGCAGAAGTAATTCCCATCTGTTTGTTCTKGTGAGCTGATGGAATCCTGTCAATTGTGTCTGACGTACAGAACTAAATTTGAAAGGAAAAAGTAGAATCTACACTTCCTGAACATGAAACAAATCAAGATCATTGTACATTTCCACATTCCCCTAGGCCATAAAACCTAATACTGTTTCTAACATAGGCTACAGAGGCTTCATCTAATACTTTCGTGCCAATAAACAAACTGCAACACAATTGGTGCAAAGGCAACTATATCTAAACAATAAAAAATCATCWTTTAGGTAAACTATATCCTGACATATGCAGGTACTAAATGCTTCTCAGATGTTTATCTTAATTATTTCTAACCAAACCTCTCTGAATGCCATGGTGATAGTATATACATCTGGTGATTACTATAATATAAAACACTTWAAAAGATGTGTCCCTGACAGACCCATTAAAAGCATAAGCCATTCTCTTAAATGAAGCACAGTGAGTCAGACCATAGTCAGTGTCATCTGATTTTAAAAATAGGACAAGTAGCTATTGCAAATTTGAGGTCCACATTTTTATTTTATTTTATAGAAAAGTAGAAGAGTCTTTTAGCAAATCAGGAGCATGGAATTAAGGAACATAAATGAATGCATACTGTGATTAAAAAAAAAAAACAGAAAGCAGGCAATATAATTGTCAAATCTTAAACAATGTAGAGAGAAAATCATGATAAATGTAAAAAGAAACAATGCAGTTGTTGTCTGGCTACTATTATGAAGCTCTGAAGAAAGATGTCCTCATTTTAGCTATCAAAATCCTTGAACTGCAGAGACAAGCTCTAACATCAGATAGTTATGAAAAACACTTGCATTTTATAGTTTGCATCATGGAAAGCTCTGAGTGAAAGTGAAATACAGGCTGTGATCTTTGTAGCCCACCACAGTGATCTTATACAAAAACTTCAGATGGTATCTATTGATCAGAACATTCCCACAGACGGAGCAGCTGCCTGTTGATGAAGCCAGCCCTTACAGTTCACTCTCGTGGAGATGTCTACTAAAAACACCGCTAGTTAAATCTCTGCTCACAGATTTGTGCATTTTAACAAATACCAGTCAAAGGCAACAAGAGTGCTGCTCTGACTATTCAGAGGAAGAAATCTTGCTCCTCTCTGTATGTTCTTATAATTTGAGTACTTCACTCTTTAGTAGTGCTTTAAATGGCACAGTGGAAAAAAAAAAAGGATTTGCAAAGGCTGATTTAACAGAGATTACAAAGTAAATATTTGGTATTTAAATGACCTCTGTTTATAAGATACCTGCCTTATTTCATGAGGAATAATTTCTTGCACAAGTTCAGAATATAAGATCCAGTTTGCGGGTGTCTACATTCAAATTCATGCCTTCAATAAAAACGAAAAATGCCTGGAGGAAAAACATTGCTAAAAGTCTGGAAAAAATCTGTGAATATGACAAATTTTAAATGGTGGAGCAACTAACACTTCCTTAAAGAGAAAACAATGTTCTTTGAAACACAAAGTGGTCACTTCAGTGGTTTCATGAAGAGTTAAAGCACATTACAACCTTGCAAGTTTTTGAAGTAATCTATGTGACTTAGGAAGGGACATCATGAACAAATATATGTTCCACCTGTAGCTAAAGAAAGCACAAGATAGGCTTGAAATCCCTAAACCCTGTAGGTTTTGCCATAAACACAGCATATAGTAAATACTAGCCAGAGCCAACATAGCTAAGAAGCTAATTGGATGCAGACTATCTGCTTTGCCAGCTGCACTGTTAATCTTCTTATTTAACAGCACATCATGATGTTCAATTAACTGAAGTGCTTTTAGGGTATTCAGAGACTGATAAAAATAACTAAATGGCCACAGCACATAAAAGAGACAACGAAGATTGGAGCAGGTTAATCACACTACTGGACTCAAGAAGTGAACTTGTACCTCCGGTGGTATCACTAAATCAGTTTTGTTTTTGCGGTCTGAATATTGTTTACCAAGTAGTATCTTATAAAGGGGTTCCAAACATTTATTTTATTAGTCACAGACTAAGCCAATATAACATCAATTAGTCATGGATGTCAATAGTTATTAACAGGTTCCCAAAGGCACTTTCTCCTTAATGTCTGTTACATCTCTTTTAAATACCTTTTAATTATAAATTAAAACAGTGAAAATGCTCTAATAAAAAGTGAACTAAAATGAATTATTACTTGACACATTTTAAAGGGGAAAAATGGATAACTTTCCAGAAATTTTTAACAAAAATGTGCATTCTCCTTTAATAAATGCTCTACATTTTCAGCATATTATGTTTTTATGCACACCTCTAGCATTTGAAATAATCAAAGAACAACGTTGCTTATTCTATAAATGTTTAATAGTAAAGAATTACATCTTTTATGAGATAACAGTTGGCCTAGAAAAGATTCAGTCTGAAGGTATATTTTTTATGTAGCAGCTGAGCGGTTTCCTACAACAGTCAGTTTAATCCACTAAAATCTCACATAATTTATTGATAGAGGAAAAACTAACTCATATTCTAAGAATTTTCCTGACATTCTTCTGCTATGAGCCACTGTACAAAGAACATAAATGTAGAACTACAGATCCAAAACAAAAGCTATATATAGTATAGATAGATAGGTAGATCGATAGTATATATACATGTACTTCAGATATTAGTTTTAGTTATAGCAAACACTAATTTTTAAAACAAACTGGAGCATTAGAAATAGTTGTGTTTCAAAGTAAGACCGACAGCAGATCTCAGCAAAAGAAGTAATTCAGAAGTTCTTGCTATATCTAACAACTATAAATTCATGCATGTGGGTTGCTTATTATTTTTTTTCATTCATAGGACTGAAGTTCAACTCAGTTTTCAAAGGTTTACCTCATAGGTGTCAATGTAGGAACAAGGCTTGCAAATTGATTAATGCTATTTGTTGGCTCATTCTTACAGATAATACCATAATAAAATAGGGATTTGACACCCATCTTGCTAGACACTAGGAACATCATGATGGAGGTAGTGTTTGACAGTCACATGTAATTATTATATTTCCAATATTTTTCTATCATTACTAAATATGTAACTATGGAAATATATTAAAGAAGGTTTCCTTGATCATTTTCTAAGTGAACCATAAACTATTGGTCCAAATTCAAATTAGTCCAAATTAGTGCTTAAAGTGAACATATGGACCTGTAATGAATAAAGTGAAATTAAGAACAAGAATCGACCATTAAATTTTATTCAATCAATATAGTGCTACAGACATCTAAAATTGAGTTTTATCTATAAGCCAGATCATGTTTAATTTTTTAAAGAATTATACAGGATGATTATACAGGATGATCTGAATTCTAAAGAAACTCAAAATCATACCTTTGTTATAAAACAAACTCTAGAAAGTTGTATTTATTAATCCGTAGGACATCATTCACATAAAAATCTCATCATAATCATAAGAAAGATATTGCTTAATGGGGTATTGTCTATAAATATGTTGTAAAACAAAAAGTAGAAGAACTAATTTCCAATTCTTCAAATAAAAAGAATGGAATAAAGTAAAAATAAACTTGCTAAAACAAGTTAAGTGTAAAACATTGTTAAAATGTCATTATTTCTTAAAAGAATTTATCATGACTGCAGAGAAACTAAATCTCTTGCTAGGTCACATTTTCTGCTACGTAACTGATGTACTGCAAGGATTATTGATTGATTAACCTTTCTCACTTATTGCTTAAACCACAAGATTTTTTAGGACCTAAAATTTCAGTTCTGAGTACAAAGAAAGAAACTAAATATTAAATACACAACATACAAAACGGAGCGCTGATCTACTCTAGTGACAAAGTATTCAATCAGCTTTGAATTTGTGCATGAGAAGTCACATCTCTATACGTAGTTCAACCATCTAATCATTAAGTCTAGAAGAAACTTACTCTACAACGAAAGTACTAGGGGTAAGAAATAGCAGTCACTTGAACAGACTGAAAATTGCTTTAAGGCATTAATCAGACCTAAACCTGATTAAAGGTCTAATTGGCTTGATTACTGAAGGCAAGAAGAAAACAAGTGCTATACCTGTTCATGATAAAAGAGCTGCAGAGATTTCAAGACAGTTAAATGAGAAAGATGTTTAATAAAATAAGATTACTATTTTCTAGAGCAAAATTATCACCTGAGGAAGCAGAAGTCAAAAATGAAGGCATCTCTCCACCTCCTCAACCCCAGCCATCTGCAAGCCAGGTACAGCCTTTAATGTTCATATATTCCTTAATATTAGATTTTCTTTGGAAAATATCTGTGCAATTAGATTCCATAGCTGAGATTTTCAAACAGCCTTGCAATCTTGGATATCAATCACTGTTTAGCTGAATCAAATAAATGCCTTTATTTCTTCCTATCTATCAGGCTCCTTTTTTATGAAGAAAATATAAATTTGCACCTTTTGTGAGTTGCTCTCTAAATGGAACTGATCTTCTATAGTATAAGCTTATGTGACTCTTGATCAGTATTTGAAGTGAAGAATTAGAAATACTAATATGGTCTTTTCTGATGTGCTGATGTATTTATTCCTCTCCATCTTGTTCCTTGCTGAAAGAAAATGCTGGTATATTCTTTCTAAATATAGAAATCCCATACAAATCTGTATCAGCTTGTTTCCCTGTTGAAACAGAAAAGTAATACAGTAGATTTTATAATATTTTATTTAGTTTGTTTTTACTAATGTAATTCCATTTTGAAAAATAAAAGTCACCTATATTATCCTGCAGTTATATATTTTTTATGTTTATTGTTTCTTTACTATAAAAGTTAACTCATTTTTTTTTCCATATCAATTAATGGAATATTTTAAAATGAGGCAGAAAGATAGATATTCCTTTACTTGTTCACTTTAAAAATTTATGTTTTGCTAAAATGTCACACAAAACGTTCAGTGGTTCCCTCTCTTCCTCACTTTTCTTTTTACAGCTTGACATAATCAAAACTTCACAATCCGAATTTGCTACAGTGTAGGTTTAACCAAATCATCAGGAAAATGAAACCACATGTTTTCAGAAACTGTGTAAGATACTAACCATTCACATGAAACTTGATAAAGTAATCTTATGAGAAAGGATGTGTGGACATACATTCTAATTAAACTGAAACCTCATAAAAATTTAAAACAAACTTTAAATATTATGTGGGGAAAAACAGAAGTTCATCAGTCACCAGAATTAGCTGGGCATTTCCGATCTTTCATAATTTTAGAGACACAAACCATTTAGATATATTGACTACCAGTAATTGTATTTGGTGCTGAGATTTTGTTCAGCATGGCCTAAATATTTAGAAAAAAATATATATATATTGGTTCATTGACTAGTAGAAGGAGTTTCTACTACTCTTCTAATTGACTTTAAGCATGACAGGAGCAGGGTTCCTTGTGAGAAGAAAAATAATTCCTGAATCTGAATGGCTACGTTGAGTATAGCATCATACTTCACTTGGCAAACAAACCAGAATGGTTGGTAGGAGAAGACAGTGGAGTATATCTAGGTTTGCCTAGAGTCGTGGACTCTGATTAGAAGGATTCCATACATTCAAGCATTTGAAGCATGTGATACATTTGAAGGTTGGGAAGAAGAAAGAGGTTGGAGCAGGTGGAAAATAGATCAAAATTTAAAGCATTCTGTCTGTGAAGTGATAGCATCTCACCTAAATAAAGGAAGAAGGAATAGCCTTATGCTAGTGGAAGTCTAAAAAAGAGAAAATAACCTTCAAAGCAAAAGATCTTCCAGATTCCTTCAGTATGCATGGAGATTCACTGAGTTCTCTTTATTTAAATATATATTAGTACTTCAATGTCAGATTCTCTGAATAGAATCAGACAAGAAAAACGAAAAAAAAATGCTTGCAGGAAAAGACAATCCCTAAATTAATCTCTGTGGTTCAAGAAAGGAAGGAGAAAAAAAGAAAAGAAGAACTGAAGTCTCTTAAGTAAATTGCTTTCCATATGCCTACTGTATCAAATATCTCCTTTTATGAATCATTGTGGTGACACCAGGCAAATTCATCTCTAACAAATGCTCACAGGCTTGGCTAAGCAGTGTGCTGTCATGTAGCTCTGTAAGACTGTAAGATTTCTCCACCTGCTCGGGCACTTCTCCTCCTTAGGCTGCTCTGTCCAAGCCAAGGTGGAGCAAAGCACATGCTGTRCGTGAGGACGTGACTACACAGCAACATGTGAGGGAGACAGTGAGACTTTGGCAGCAAAAGTTATTGTCTATTTTGTGCGGATTGAGTTGCATCATTTAGTGGACAGCTGGTCTGTTGGCCCTACAGAAAGTTTAGGTAGAAGGTGAATGGCAGGACACAAACTGAGCTTGTGATCAGCAGCTGTGAACACACCAGCCTTGGCAATGTGAAGGAGGCACTGGGGTGTGCAGCAGTGTAACTCCAGGCTAACCAAGGTTGTGTGGTAGGTCTGAAGACATCCCTCTAACCTCTGCACCTAAGCCTGTTTTTTGAACCTAGATGGAAAATCCTGTCCAAGAATACACAGAATACTCAGAAAAATTGCAGAGTATGTGTGAACATGAGTTTCTAAGTTCCTATTCAAATATTATTTGTTTTCCCAACAGTTAGAATCTGTGTTTTCTAATATTTCTCTGTGTTTCCTAAAGGTTGAAAAGAAAGACGAGCCACAGAAAGCTGGGGCCAGCACCAATGGAGGTCCAGCACCAAAACAAGGTCAGTAAAAAGCCACGTATTAGAGCTCAGAGACTGACTGGACAAAATATATGTATGGGATTTAGGGCTGTAAGTAACATCATTCCTCTTCCAAATGCTATGTTCTGCCAGAGACTGGCTTTATTTTTTTATTTCTGGAAGAAATTAAGAACTCTGAATTCCTATTGACCCTAAAGCAATAATTTGTTACAGTAAAACTAGCACTATCCAACAATAATAAAAGAATATAAGCTTTCAAGCACACAGTCCCTTCCTCAGCTTGCCCACTTTTWTTAGCTAGGCTAACAAAAGCAATTCCTTTTACTGTAAGCTTGATTCCATCTTCTAAAACTTACTGTAAAATAAAGGTATTTGCTAGACTAAGAGAGAAAACTACATATATTTTATGTATCTTTTCTTGAACATGAAAAAAATGAGCAGTCATTCAGATCTTCCTCCAAACAAAATCGCTATTAAAAACGATTTGTCATCACATGCACAAGATACCAAGGACTGGAACACAGGAACATAGAGCTCACAGCAACAACACAAACTGCTTACTCGCCTAAGAAGCTGATTGCTGAACAGAATAGCAATATGACCATGATTGTTTTGTCACGTTGCCCCCAGCACCTTGTCTCCTTTTGTTTTTGATCAGCCTCCCCTGTACCTAATGCCAGGGTCTTGGAAAAGCCAGAACGRCTGCTGCAACTGCTACAAAAACAGGAGGCTGAGGATGGGTGAGGCAGCAGCTACTGCTGAGCCATGTCCTCTCTGTCCTCCCTTAGAGACTCAGAGATACCATCTGCCCCCCTTCCATCCTCCCATACCGGCAACAGCACTGCATCCAGGGTTTTTGGCAGCCATTTGATCCTTCTGTTCCCTCACCTCTTTCCTTCTGAAGCTCTCTTCACTGCAACAGCAAAGCATAGGATGAGAAACCTTCAATTTTCTATGATAAAGATGACTTAAGGTCAGAAGAGCACTAGAAAGAGACCATAAGGAAATTTGCATTAGCCTTGCTGGCACTTTGTCTAATATTAACTAGCATCACTATTTCTTTCTTGATATATCCAAACTTTAAACAAAGTCAGTTTAATGCAATTATATTTTTATAAATGACTGTAGCACTAAATCAGTGAAAAATAAAATCTGACATGAGGTAACTGTAGCAATAAGCCACCCACTGGAAAAAAAAAAACATCTGATCTGTTCTGTGGCTTTTAACAACATTAAATCAGAGACAGTATCCCCTGACAGAATGAAGTGTGTTTGTAGAAAATACTCCTGTTGACATCCAAAATCCAATCTAATTTTTAGAGATTAATGTAACCAATAATTCTATATTTTAGAGTACTAAACTACAAAGTTTTACTTCTGAAATGTGAAAAAATGTGAAATGTGAAAAAAGAAGTAGTGGAATAGAAAGCAACCACCTCAGTTAAACTCCATGTTTGTTTTTCAGCTCCAAGTTTACTAGAGGGTACTTGGAGCCTCGTTTCCAAGCAACATTTCCAAAACAGGACAGTTTCTCATTTTCCACGTGTGTATCAGTGAGCCAGTTATCAAAACAATCCACAGAACATATCCAGGAACCACACTTCAAGATAAATCTAGGAATCCCCCATACCCTCCGTACATAAATCCTCACTATGCAAACAGAATAAGAGACTCCATTATGTGCTGCCAGAAAAGCAAGACTGGTCTCAAGTAGCCCATGCTATGTAATTTAGTGAGCTCTGTATCACAGCCTAAAACCATGTGGGCATCAGCTGGAAGAAGAGAACAAAACATATCTATAACAAAACAAATGATAGAAGTCCAGATAACATTTTGAAGTGTACACACAAATTCAGAGAGTGTTATAAACAACACAGCCAGGGTCCAGCCAAAGCTGGCTAAGGAAGACACTTAAATGGAGGAGTTAAAGATAGATAGACAGAGAAAACCTTTTTCAGATTTCTAAGCAGAATGTCTGAGAATAAAATTCTCCAGAGAAACTTCTAGTGGTAGTCTGTTGTTCAGTCCTACAGCTCTACAGCCCTGAAGTACAAACCAAGAGCATCAGCATGGCTTACTTCCACCCTTCCTCCTCCTCCTCCTCCTCACGTGGCCAAGACCAGCCGTCACCTTGTCTCCTCCTGCAAGCACATCATGAGGCATCATGATGTTCCCAGCATGGATGAGAACTCAGTAGGAAGCAAAATTGGAGCCTGTTTGGCTAAAACTCGTCCACTTGCATTAGTCAGTAGCACCTGGTACTTTTGGCTTCTTTGTTGGCTACTCATTCTTGATCTCCGCCTCCTCATTTATCCTCTCTCACTTACTTACTTTGTGATTAATTCTCTTCATAACTATCTTACTCTGTAATTAGTTCTCTCTATTTTGTGGGTTTGCTCCATAACAGATTTTTTTGTTTAATTTATTCCTTGCATTTTTTTATATAGAGTCTGATTCATTTAATCACAGGTTCTCTGTTTTACTGAGTTCTATTGCTACAGTTTCTTTGCATGTGTATTACCCCCCATAAACTGCTGTACAAATGCTTACTTTGTTTTACATACAGTTGTTTAATAGGTCTGTTGATGATTACACTATTTTGTACATCTTAGCCTCTCCCTGGCTAGCTGGTGTCTGTATTATCATTCTCTGTTTCACAGATCCTTTCCCTTCCTATCCTTTCCCTTCATGATTCTTTCCAACTCATTCCTCATATTCCTTTCTCTAAACCCTTAGTTCCACACTTACATACTACTTTTCTGAAAACCGTCCTGTTTCCATCTCCTTCTCTCTTTCCCCTGACTAGAACCTGGACTAATTATTCCCAATCTTCTGGGATTTGTCTTCTGAATTCTACAACAAATATCTCAACAGAATTTATCCAGATGCACAGACACATTTACTAAAATCCCCACTGACAAAGCCTTCTTGTTTGCATTACCTAATCAAGAAAGCTAGACTAAAACTGTCATGTGTATTCCCATCTGTGCTRCAAATGCACCTCTAGATCACGGTGAATACAGAGTCTCTCATTTAGAGATTGTCTTGTAAATTTTCAGTGGTACCTCAGTCTCTTCACCACTTAGATACATTGGAAAATATTCAGAGGTTATATAAAGGATTGGAAACTGTCCCAGATGAAATGTAAGCATCATGCTACAGTGTGCATGAGAATTTGACGCATTTGCCAGACTCAGAAAATCTGTAATAGCCTGAGTGGGAATCCCAGTTTCAGTCTAACGAAAGGGATTTTAATTAGCACATCTGAATTAGCTTCTGTAAGGAACTTTGTTCCTGATTTTTTCTCCAAAAACTATCCTCTATCCCATTCTGCTTCGATACTAAAGTAATGTTCACTTTTCCACAAAAAGTTTAGCTAAACAAACAAAAGAGTAGAAGCTGGTGATATTTTCCACCTTTCATATATAGCCTAGTTGTTAAATGTCACTTTCTTATACTAAGGGAGTTCAAACCCACACTTTTCATGTTTCAGCAGAGTACCCTAACCCGTGTTAAGTGTGGACTAGGGAAAGAAGGGAGGAAATTCTCTGACCTCCCTAATAGCTGACCCATGTAGAAAAGAATGTAAAAACCATGAAGACTGGGAAGATGGAGCACAACATGGAACTCTGCTCAGTTAAGCACTAACTTTGTAGGAGGAGGAGAAGGAAAGGGCTTTGATTTCAGCATCTGCTTATATTACAGTATTGTTGAATCTGAGAGTTAGAGTGTACTTGTAAAAGTTTTCTGAGCCTATCACAAACAAAGAAGGTCCCGAACCAAGGTTTCTTCTTTCTAGATGAAAGCTTTGATCAGAGACTGATATATAAAATATAATCACTTTGTCCCCTTGCATTTAGAAATAAAGGATATCTGCTTAGGACAAAATCCTGTCACTGTCAAGACCCAGCTACTTTTCTCTAATTAGGTACCAGTTAACTCTCCTTGGAGTATAAACAAAAGAGTTGTAACYCTCTGAGAAGGTATCTTGCAATTAAATGTGAACTTTCACAGCTGAAAAATGCATTTGATCTGCTACGAATCTGACCCTTAAATTATTTTGCCGAATTTGTCCCCTAGCATCTCAAAATCCAGGGTTAAGTATGTCATTCGTATCTGTAGACACTAATCAAGAATAGCATTTTAGTCTAATGTGCTGCAGCTCAATGGACAAAACCTGTCAATGCAAAGAGCCTTTTATATAGCAATCCTATTCCTTATCTTCTCATCCTTTATACTCTTCACTCATATTCAGTCAATATGGAACTATTATTCCCAGAAAATGTATTTTTTTAGGATGATCATGAACTTGAATATATTTAATCAGCTTGCTTCCACTCTTGCTGATGTGAAGCCTTTTAATTTCTTTCAGAACTTCACTTTTCACATGATTGACAAGGTTAATGCCAGGAAAACAAATCCAACTAATTTTCTTTCTTTCTTTCTTTCTTTCTTTCTTTCTTTCTTTCTTTCTTTCTTTCTTTCTTTCTTTCTTTCTTTCTTTCTTTCTTTCTTTCTTTCTTTNTTTTCTTTCTTTCTTTCTTTCTTTCTTTCTTTCTTTCTTTCTTTCTTTCTTTCTTTCTTTCTTTCTTTCTTTCTTTCTTTCTTTCTTTCTTTCTTCCTTTCTTCCTTTCTTCCTTTCTTCCTTTCTTCCTTTCTTTCTTCCTTTCTTCCTTTCTTCCTTTCTTCCTTTCTTCCTTTCTTTCTTCCTTTCTTTCTTCCTTTCTTTCTTCCTTTCTTTCTTCCTTTCTTTCTTCCTTTCTTCCTTTCTTCCTTTCTTCCTTTCTTCCTTTCTTCCTTTCTTCCTTTCTTCCTTTCTTCCAAAAAAATGCTTTATTTTATAATATTACTACTTCCAACTAAAGATAAGGGTTTAGTTAAGATTAAGATAGACCTACTTACTGATTATTTCATTTCAGCCACATTGATTTTCAAGTAATCCTTTCCTGCACAGAGCATCTGTTCAAAAAGTTTTACTTGAAAAGTCATGAATGTGTGTAGTTTGTAATGTCAGAAATAAA